ACCAATCAGAAAGACATACCCATCAGACATAACTATCAGAAAGACATACCTATCAGACATACCGATCAGAAAGACATACCCATCAGACATAACTATCAGAAAGACATACCTATCAGACATACCGATCAGAAAGACATATCCATCAGACATACCTATCAGAAAGACATACCCATGAGACATGCCCATCAGAAAGACATACCAGACAGACACACCTATCAGAAAGACATATGTATCAGAAAGACATACCCATCAGAAAGACATACCAATGAAGACATAACAATCAGACATACCCATCAGACAGACAGATCAGAAAGACGTACACATCAGACATACACATCAGAAGGACATACCCATGAGACATGCCCATCAGAAAGACATACCCATCAGAAAGACATACCCATCAGACATACCCATCAGAAAGACATACCTATCAAACAGACATGCCCATTAGAAAGACATACCTATCAGAAAGACATACCAATGAGACATACCCATCAGAAAGACATACCAATGAGACATNCCAATGAGACATACCCATCAGAAAGACATACCAATGAGACATTCCCATCAGAAAGACATACCAATGAGACATACCCATCAGAAAGACATACCAATCAGAAACACATGCCCATCAGAAAGACATATCCATGAGACATGCCCATCAGAAAGACATACCGATCAGAAAGACATACCTATCAGAAAGACATACCTATCAGAAAGACATACCTATCAGACATACCTATCATAAAGACATAGTCTCACAGACTACGAGGAATAGAAATTGTCTGACTTGGCTGCAGTCAGTTTATACTCCACCCCTGCAGCCGCCGACAGATCACACTCCACGTTGCGTCAGCTGCAGTCGAACGCACCCATTGCTTCTTTAAGGGGGGATGGGCAAAATTACAACGTCGTCGGTGATTGGCTGTTGTGCTGGCGTTTCAGTAAACCTCTGCTCGATAGGCCAACGAGTTGTCTGTCTCAGCGCATTCTCTAAAACGGAGTATATATTTGGTTGATCGAGTTTTATAGTCAGTTTATGTGTGTATCATCGTGATCGTCCTTATTTTTTATCGATAAAAAATCGAGATCGTTTTTGTCTCCCAGCACTAATAGCATAGTTATAATTCAATTAAATTAGGTATTTCACATTCATTAGAAAGCAAGGTCTTGGAGGTGCAAGTCAATCTGGAGGCTCATTCTCTTCAATTCAAAGCAGAGGATCATCCCATAGCCGTATTCATAGCTTACCCGAGGCCTCTCTCCCTGGTACTTAATATGAACATCTTTCTGGTACATCCCATCTCTTTCCCTTGACGAGGTCTGATAAAATGGTTATAGGAGAGCATTGCTGAGAATATTATTTTCCATCAGGCCTCGTAACTATGACAAATCTGGGAGATTTTAAATGAGAGACATATGGACATATGGACAATATAATTGAAAAGATAACATGAATTTGATTTAACGAGTAATGACACTTTACAGCAATGCCATTTTCCTCTACAGTTGATCTGAGTAATGTGATGTTGATTCTATCCCTATTCTGTTTTCGGTCTTGGTCTTGGTCTTGGTCTTGGTCTCGACCAGTCTTGGTTTTGGTCTCGCCTTAGTGTGTCTTGGTCTTGGTCTTGGACTTGGACTTGATCTTGGTACCCTCAAGTCTCAGCAGTGTCTTGGTCTTGATACCCTCCAGTCTCGGCAATGTCTTGGTCTCGGTTTAGGCGGTCTTGACTACAACACTAATGACAGAACACCTGCATTGTCTTCGGAGAAATTGTAGTGGTCGGGGCGGTGCTCATATATGGCTGGCTTACGCGGAAACCTCGACTTAACCAAGAACAAAAACTGCTCGGAGCAGTTTTGAGACTTAGCCTAAATTGCCATAGCAACATGTCTCGACTAAAACCTACCCACCTTTCGTAGTACGGGTTAATCGCGAAGTTACACCGCACGTCATCAAGTTACTCGCATAGTTACCCCGATAAGCCAGTTACCCCGCTTCGTAGTACAGGCCCCAGGAGATGGCATACGTTTTGCAACAAATACAAGCACTGTAGTGAAATGAGTAAACTTTTATGAACAATTTATTAGTTGGTTTAGGCCATACTACAGTAATATGGCATAATGAGGTCTGTTGAAATCCTTATGACAAAATTAACCAGAGATTACACCAAAATTTCAAACTGGTGGAAATAGTGCTTTTAATATCTGGACAGTATGAAAAATTAGATATGGGGACCCTCTCATACAGCTGCTCACCATACTATGATACTACTACAACAACTGTTCTTTCTCTACTCTTTCATCATTGAACGCTGTTATGTGAAAGTCCACACTGCCACCTACTGGAAATACCTAAATCCATTGTCTTACACACGTGGTGTCAATGCACACGGTTTCTAGGTTACACATGCACTAACCACAGCTGTCGGTATCCTGATGACGAATTGAAAGCACATGTGGAAAAGTGAAGTATGAATTGTCCTTCATCTGTCCACATGCTAGGTCCTTGTCTGTCTTTGACAGGCAGCTAGTAAAGTTGCCAAAAAGTTCCCTTTTTCTTTTCCTGTTATGTACTGCAAACCTTCCGGCACAAAATATATTTCAAACAGAAATAAGGATATAGGGCTGGGTTCTTCAAATCTGGACCTCGATTCCAAATCCAGGCCTTGTTTTCAGTTCTCCCAGGTAGTTAATTTAATAATGACTGATTCTTATTGGTCTGAGGCTGGCTCATAGGTGAAGGAATCCTGGAAAATCAGCAGTGCTTGGACCTTGAGGACCGTGATTTGAATAATAAGGATATAGGGAAATATGTCTCTTAACCGGTTCTGTTTCTCCAACACGTTCTCCAATTGTGTGGTTTGAAGTGTTAATACTGAAGTTCTATGCCTATATATGATTCATTGAGGGTGTTTAATCTTGCCATGCATGCACAGTTACATTTAGAATCTGAAATTTATCGACATCCATTTTGTCCAGCTGTTCGTACGTATGTGTGATAAATACCATTCTGCCTGTACATACAGATGAATCGTATGCACGTTTAGGACTATGCACACGTTTAGGACTACGCTCACTTTGATGAATGAGACCTTAACTGAGCTTGTGCTGTGTATTTTGCAAATCACAGGCTGAATAAAGGGCTGAAGAATGGTCTGCAGAAGGCTGCACAATAGGCTGACCTACAGAGGTTGTGCAGTGAAACACCCGTTTAAGACCACAACAATTAGTATGATGTAGGGCTGCATTTTGCAGCCATTCCTCTTACAGAACAGTGGCCAGGTCACTACGTGATGCTGATGGAGGAAAACATTCCCTGACTCGCTCCTCCAAAACACCCCAAAGTGGCTCAATAATATTCAGATCTGGTGACAGTGCAAGTCATGGGAGACATTCAACTTCACTTTCACCTTCATCAATCCACTCTGTCTCCAGTCTTGCTGTGTGTCCTGGTGCATTATCATCCTTCTACATGGCACCACCTTCAGGGTACAATGTTTGAATAGGTGAACATGGTCCTCCAGAACGGTTCGGTAATCCTTGGCAGTGACGTACCCATATAAAACAAGTAGTGGGGTTAGGGAATGTCATGATATTGCAGCCCAAACCATCACTGATCCACCCCTGTGCTGCACTCTGCTTCTCCACCCAATAACTCTCCTGGATGTGGGGAAGACTGAAGGTGGACTAATCAGAGAATAATACATGTTTCACATTGTCTATAACCCAAGATTTGAGCTTCTGGCACCATTCAAACCGACGTTCGACCAAAGGTTTGGCTATAGCAGCCCAACCATGAATATTAATCCTATGGAGCTTCCAATGAACAGTTTTGGTGGAAACAGGAGAGTCAAGGTGCACATTTAATTCTGCCGTGAGTTTGGATATAATCTGGGTTTTTTGGATATAATTAGGGTTAGTACCAGAACATTCCTTTCAGACAGCTTCCTCTTCCATTCACAGTTACTCCTGTTGGATGTGGTCTGTCCTTCGTGGTGGTATGCTGACATTTCCCTGGGTACCGTGGCTGTTGAACACAAAGACTTGCTGTCCTGGCCACAGATGTGCCAGAGAGACATTCACCAACAATTTGTCATCTTTTGAACTCTGGTGTGCCTCCCATTATGTTGTATGGATTGCAATAATTTATGTGCAGTTGTGCTATTGCTCTGCTAATTCAACATTTACACTCTGTTCTTATTGATGGAATGTGAAGACTGGCCACCAGGCTGTGCATATATAGGTGTGAAACTTCAAACACTATTATGGCCAGTGTTTCAGTCTCATTGTCAAACCCTTTACAGATGAGGTGATGGAAGACAAAAACACCTCCATCCATCTAATCCTCACTCCTCTTGCACCCCCAAACCTGTACAATATCTAGAATTACTGGTTGGATCAAAAGGAAATGTGAATGCCAGGTAATGTGAGTCCTAATGACACATGAATTGGTGTAGTTTCAGAACTATTGCACATTCCATTTACAGGCCTGCAGTGGCTGACCGGTCCCAAAAACATACATATTCTTCATTTAGGAAATAGTTAAAGTTCCATTTATATTATGGCAGGGAAAGTTAAAGTGTTAATGCATTGCATTCATTTTAAAGCCATAACACGTTATTTCTTCAATGGCATTAAACAGCACTGGTCCTAACCAATGTGGCGCCCTTGGTGAGCATTACTGGTGGTGCCTCCCCATCTAAGGCAAAGTGAAGTTGGCTGGTAAGTCAGTGCCTGGAGTGGCTTGGTGGTGCAGTGATTAGCGCTGTTGCCTCACACCTCTGGGACCTGGGTTTTTGTCTTTGCCATGGATCCTTGTGTGTGGAGCTTGCATGTTCTCCCCGTGTTGTCATGGGGTTTCCTCTGGGTGCTCCAGATTCCCCTTCACAGTCCAAAACTATGCTGAGGCTAATTGGAGTTGCCAAATTGCCTGTAGCTGTGCATGTGTGTATGAATAGTGTGTGTGCGTGCCCTGTGATAGGTTGATGGCCATCCTGGGTTGTTCCCCATCTTGGATCCAAAGCCTCTGGGATAGACTGTGGACCCCTGTGACCCTGAATAGGATAAGTGGTTTCAGAAAATGGATGGAAGTCAGTGCCCCCTCCCATGTTAGTGTCTTAGGGAGCTGCCTGTGTCACCTATAGGATTGACTGGCCCTGATGTTAATGCATACTGTGTTGTGATAATTAAATAGGAGAATAGTAGGCCTATGAGCAAACATTTTTAAGAGCAACCTGTAATATTCCTTCCTGGTTGTAAACAACGTGAGCGCTTCAGCTGTGATGTTGCACAGAATCCCAGAATTTACACCTTAATGGGGAACCTAATTAAGGGGAATGGCGAGGAAGCTTTGATACAGGATGAAAATTTTGTAATTTGTGTTTATTTTATTGAACCTTAAATAGAGGATCCTTTAAGTAAACAAGGACATTTTCAATGGTTGTCAGGCTTCTGTTTTTAAATCCAATTTTTGGTTGCATATTCTGGGGTTGTGCAAATTTCATCACACAAAGCTGAGGTCTGCTGGTCCTGATAACGCTTTCTGAGCTGATGGGGATTAAATAAGTGTTTAGCTCTGCTTATTAAAAAGAAGTTCTTTAACCGTCTGTTTTCTTTTACTCTGTTTTTTCTTTTATTTGCCTTCAGCTTGGCTCATTAATCACTCACTGCTTTATTGGTAAAGCACCATTTTGATTTATGGATTATTACCATTATTGATTTCAGTGTTATTTGTTAATTTCATTTATTACCTCATGAGTTAGTTCATCTTAGTCACACCTCTTCTTGTTCTGTCTATACTTAAGCCTGCTCTGAGTTTGTTCGCTATTAAGAAAATTGTCAGACTGCCCTAGTTTATGTATATTTAGAATATAAAACTAAGCAAATCCAGTGCATCATCTGGAGTTGCTCTAAATTCATTTTAATTTCTCCTTTAGACAGCATGGGATGGGAATTTACAGAATACTTTGAGTATGTTACTTTTATTGATGAAACAGTGAGTAAAAGCTTCAAACTTACATGAGTGACTACACAAATAAGACCTGTGTAGCTGTTAAGAGTTCAATGTAATGCATGAACAGCTTTTTACAACTTTCTTAATTCCTGCCACAAAAAAGCACATTACTCCACTTTAGTGTAATCCTTTTAATTACGCAATTTCCAATGACATTACATTAAGTGCAAATTACAAAAAAACACAAAATACACAACTAAATTCCCACAACTTGTGTTAAAAAATTAAAAACAATACCTCTCAGTGTCATTTTTGAAAATCTGTAGTCTGAGATTTCCAATTGATTCTGTCAGGCTGATCATCGTTTTTATACACAGTCCTGTTGATTGCCAAATCACATTGTAAATTGGTTTCAAGGTAAGAACTAATAAAAATATTTCCACCTTCATATGAATGCACATCTCACCAAAAAAAGGAAACTTTTACCTTTTTTAAACATTTATGCTAGAGTTACCTCATGATCGATCATATGCCCTGCAAGGACACACTGAGGCAATTCTCTAGTGATTTAAATGCTATGAAACACACCTCCACCCACCTCTTATTTTCTAAGGCATCGGAGGTTTGAACAGTCTCACAAAACCATTTTACTTAATCGTTACAGGTTAGATGTGAAATATTCAATAAAGTGATATGTGACTAATATCCTTTTAATAAATGCAGCAAATCACTAGAAGCGCTAGTTTATTTCTGTACTTCTGACCCAAACAGCTGAATGGAAGGTGTGACTAGATGACATAAGATGGTCGAAATAAGATGGTAGTTTCCAAAGAGGGCCGTCGGTGATGCCTTTAGTGTTCATAAGAAACCAAAGTTTGCCGAGTGGGATAACACCCCGCAGTGCTTTTAGTTTTAGCTTGTATCTTTGTTTTCCGTCTTCAATTCCATTCTTAGTCACTTGTTCAAAGATCAAATCAGCCATCAGATCAGATTTTGTTGAATATTCCTGACTGCAGCTATTGAATCTTTCTCTCTCAACATATCTCTGTGATACATTTACAACTACACAAGGTACGAGATGTAAACATTTCTGAAAAACAACAAAAAAAAAAAACGTGTAAAGCTTTTCAGTATCTCCCTCCATCAGACCATGTGTGTGATCTTCACCAGAGACGGAGACGAAAAGGTAAGGTCGAAAGGTCAATAACAGCCCTAAAGTCTAGCAATCGAGATAAAAAAGGTAAACACATTTCTTTAGAAAAATTAGCAGCATGGAAAAAAGCCATGAGATCAGTGATTGTAGCAAACCCAAAAACAAGACAAAAATTTACTAAAAACAATTATGAGTGGACAACATGCACAACTGATATTTGCAAAATATTTTTATATAAACTATAACTTTAAATATGTATACGTTTTTATATTCTGGCAAAAACAACATGACTATATTTGAACAACTGATGTACTAAACCAGTTTTTGTGAAGCAGTGTGTGAATTGCTTATCAGCTGAGGATGGTGAGAGCACATATGTAAGTGCTGGACTCTGTGGAAGAAACTCTGACAGCACTGAAAGGTCTGGAAGAGCTCATGGCTGAGGCTTGTGCTGCAGTGGGCACAGGGTCCGTGCTGCTTCATGCGGGGCTAAGAGTACGAGGGCAGGTGGCACCCACGGTGGGAGAATGCGCACTGAGCTGGACATGCCCCTCTGCATGGGCCGGCACCAGAAGATGGTGATGGAATAGTGGTAGGAGGGCACTACGAGCAAGAAAAAAGGTCATCAGGAATATACTTTAGATTCTGTGCAAATGTCTACTTTGAGCTCCTGAAATAGAAGCAGTCCTCCTGCATTCAGTCAAGCTAATTCTATAGCTGAAGTTCAAGATACAATGAATGGGTATAACAAGAGAGAGAATTACACAAACAGCATGAACAGAATTCAAAGGGGTTGGATTCCAAAGGTAAGGAAGTCCCATCTTATTGTGTGTAAGCTGTTTGTGTTTGTTTAACCATTAGTACTGAGTATCTGTCTGTTTATTTGCTCATTTCAGTTTCAATCTCTGTCTTTTCTTATTGTTCTATCTCATTGTTCCAGACTTTGGTCGGTCAATGTGTTTGACTTTGAAAATGTGCTATACAAAAAAAACTGACTGCTTGATTGACTGAAGCTTTCATTCTCATCGAAAAAGAAACATTTCATGTTGCATTTCTCACTGGATTTAAGCCAGGATATTCAAAGTCAAAGGTAAACCAGACCATAAAGCTCTTGAATATCTGGATTCTTTGGTCTAAGTTTCAGTTTAACATTAGAGCTCGTACTTGAACCAAAATATCCTTGCCGTCCAGGATATACATGCCACTGCTTGTGTAATTACAACAAAAAAGTTCCTTGCCGTTCACCAAGAAATGAGAGAAATTGCACAATTCAATGTTTTTACAAAGTCTAAGTGTGTTTGGGAGATGCAGCCTAAAGGCTGAGTAACAGTAAGGACTGGTGTGTAAGAATGGCCTGATAATGAAATGAATTTGAAAATCTAGAAGCGATTTGTTACATATATGTGTGATGGATCTTGCAGCCTGTTTTCACTAGAAAATCCATGTACCTGGACAAATCAGAAGAGGATTGGCTTGTTGGCCGTCTTCTCCTGGACATATGTGGTAAAGCGCTTGAGGAATTTTGGATACTCCCGTTTGGCCACTGCCCGCAGGACGCTGGCTGGGGCCCAGCCACCAGGATTCACTGTGAACATAAGAGAGGTATAAGGTATGTATAATCAGCAACCCCCTGTTTATTACAAAACTACCCTAGATAACCCACTGTGTTGCTAACAAAGCACGACTTACCATTTGCAACATAGGTAATTTTGCAGAGGATGTTGTCCCTACAAATCTCTTTGTCTCCCTCTGGTGGGCTGACAAGGGTTTGACAGATCATGGCAACGTTGATTTTGGCACGGACACACCTGTTAGTGGGCTAGAAGCACAAAATAAAAGACAGAAAAACATTCAATCTGTGTGACAGGATAAACATTGTGGCGGTCAACTTTTACATTGAAATTGCTAAAATGAGGTGTTTGCAATAAAATAAGCATCCATCATAACCAATGTTGACCATCCTCTTCACGATGAGGAGAGGTTAGCTGAACTGAATCTGTTCAGCCTCCAGCAAAGGAGACTAAGGGGGATTCAGGTACTGTATATAAGATTCTAACAGGTCTGGATGCTGTTCAGCCAAATGGCTACTTTAATATTAGTTTAAATACTAGAACTCATGGCCATAAGTGGAAATTAGCGGGAGAACATTTTAAACTAGATTTAAGAAAGCAATTAATTACACAGCGTGTAGTTAGAGTATGGAATAGTCTACCTGTTAGTGTAGTGCAAACTAAAACCCTGGGTTCCTTTAAATCAGAGCTAGATAAGATTTTAACAACTCTGAGCTATTAGTTAAGTTCTCCCCAAACGAGCTTGATGGGCTGAATGGCCTCCTCTTGTTTGTAAATTAATGTTCTTACAGTATGTTCTTATGACCATACCAGAAGAAGCTTTAGTTACCAGCTCATCCTAGCATAATGTGTCAAGAAATGCAGTTGTATAACAAGCCCGCATTCATAACTGCCAATAGCCTATTTTCTGAATTTCCTAATCGGTAAACTGTGTGTGTGTGTGTGCGTGCGTGTGTGTGTGTGTGTGTGTGTACGTACTCATGGGCTGGAAAAACAACAAAAATACCTAACAATATATTGATACCAAAGCGTAGGGCCACTTTTTGCTTTCAAAACAGCCTCAGTCCTCCTGGGAATGCAGTCATATCGGTCATGCAATGACTCAAATGATACAACTTTTTCCTATCGCTTCAGGTTCAGGATTTGTTCTTCTTACACATAGCTTGCTGAATGGCAGCCCTGCTTTAAATGCCACATTTGTGAATCTCACAGCGTTGGTTTTTGTTGGGAATGTATTACGGAGATGCCGAATGAGATTGGAGGCATCCTAAGCTACACCAATATGCTGTTTAGCGACCACCCTGTTTAGCGTATGCTTATGCTACTGATTATTGTTTGCTTTTTTCAATGCAGTATGTCCATGTTTGACATATACCGTCATATTTGAGGGTTGGTCCCCATGACAGACTAAATTATTTTGCTGTTTTTTTTTGATGACTTTGGACTCCATGAAACTCATGTTGCCTTGAAAACTCAAATTTCTGATGATCAAATGCTGTTAATTGCCATTCAGCCTAATCTTGTATCTACACTTTCTATTGTGATTTAGATGCTTCACATTTGAATTCCTTTTTCATGTCGTGCTCCTGTTATTTTATTCACCCACTATATTACATGCATATGCTGCTTATCAGCTACAGGCTGGAGGTGGCCCTGGAGCCTATGCCAGGTGGCATGGGGCACCAGGTAGGATGCCAGTCCATTTCAGGGCACATACAGGTCAACAGTCATACGCTATAAGCAATTTGGTGATGCCAATTTGTCAAACTGCGAGAGGAAGCCAGAGTACTCCGAGGAATCTCACGGGTAAAACATGCAAACTCCACACTGAGGAGTAAATCCCAAATCAGGAGGAGGTCAGGAGGAGGTCAGGAGGTCACAAATGCAAATTTAGTTATAAAAAAACAAGACAAAACTAGAATTTGTTTTACAATGCCCACATAATACCTTACAAATGACAATTACTGATGTGTTATTTAGCACAAAAAATGGTTTATAAATTCCATACTGACTCAGAATTGAGGATTACTGTGATTAAGACAAAAAAGTTTGCCACGTCTTGTAACTTTCTACATACTGAACAATAAGGTAATTCTGCATCGTAATGTGAATATTAGCTGAAGGTCACTGGCTACCTGCATCCAGCCGGTCTCTTGCTTTCTCTAAAAGCAGCATTTGAATGGTAAATTCTATCCAGCTGTATAAGGGCACCTGCCAGCATGTAGTAATACCACGACAAAGTGCCGCCAACATGAGAGAAATTTCTAATTGTTCATTTATTCATTTGTTTCTATAGATCTGAGGAAAAGCATCCCTGTGCACCATGACAGTAAGGCGGCGGCACCATGACAGTCACGCCTGCACGACTGGGGCCCATCTTGTGAGAAAAGCACTTTGACAGTATCACTCACCGGGCTGCTGTCGTGATCCACAGAGAAGTTGCAGACTAGCCATGTGTCTGGGTCGTTCTCATTAGTGGCCAGGATTTTCCGGATTGCGGACAGGTAAAGCACGTCTCTCTGGGAGGCCGGCCATACCCGCTATAAAAGAGGCCAAAACACTTATCTGGGAACTCAAACTGAAACATCAACCACCTTATAAGCAAAAAGATCTACAGGCTGATAACAAAAGCAAAAATACGTTACTGAATACATTCCTATCCTACTAAATATGTGTCACTCATTTTTCATTCAGCAGAAGTACAATCCATTCATCCATCCATCTTTTTTGTGTAACCGATTATCCTATTCAGGGTTGCGGGGACTCCGGAGACTATCCCGGAAGCTATGGACGCAAAGTTGGGAACAACCCAGGATAGTGTGCCATCCCATCGCGAGGTACACTCACCCACCACTCAGTCACACATGCACACCTACAGACAAGCATAATTCAGTTACAACAATCTACCTGTAGCAAGCATTTAATTCTTTGTTTTGCAACCGTTAACTGGGTAAGATGAGAGCCATTTGATCTGTGATTAACCAGTCATCCAAAAATACAGCTTTATGGGTATTTTACCTTGTGAGTTTGATAGACGATAATGGCATTTTCGGACAACGTTTCCACCACAGTGAAGTTCTCCACAGTTGCTGAAATGAGAGAATGCTTACGTCACATTCCTTCCACACAGGTTACCCATACTGAGGTTGCCAGAGGGTGCGGTGAACTTACTCTCCCAGTCGTTTCGGACATCTGTGTTCCAGAAGTAGTGACAGACCTCGTGGCCGGTCACCCCTTTCACAGCATGTGTCGCTTTCAGAGGGTCCAGGACAATTCCATTCTCCTCCACTTCACGTCTGTACACCTGAGAGCAGCAGGGTTTTGCGTTACACGCCCTGGAATCTAACTCACATTTCATTTCCTGCTTTGGAAACATAACCGGCGAGTAAATAAAAAAAACATCTTATATACTGATGTATTTCCAAAAGGTGCTCCAGTTTCCTCCCACAGTCCAAAAACATGCAGTTTGGTGAACTGTCGTCTCTAAATTTCCCATAATATGTGTGACCGTGGCCTGGACTGACATCCTATCCAAGGTTCTCCTTTGCCCATGTTTCCTAGGATTGGCTAGCATAATAATAGCATAATAGCAAGATATTACAAAAACTAAAGACTTAATCCTTTTGGAACTTAACCAGACCAGACTTCTGGACTGTGCCCTATGTGTCCTATTACAGCTTTAAGATTACCATGTTCATGTTCTGGATAAACTGTTCTGAATAACAAACATGGATTTATTTTCAGAGCAGACACCCTTGTACAGGCTGTCTTAACAGACAGGTGGTTACTTCTGAGTACCACTATGTCCCTCAGCATGCGGTACTCGTGAAAGGGGAGGAGAGTTACTGCTGGTGATTCCGGTGATATTAGGCCAGTTCTGAGCAACAAGTAATTAAGTGAAGGTACATCAGGTGAGCAGTGATTGATCTCACCTTCATCTCCCCCTCCTCCACTACCAGCTGCCAGTTAGCATCTCCACCAACATCCTGGAGAGAGTAGGACATGTGATTCTGCACCATCTCCTCCACCTGCAAAAGCGAAAGGGAACAAAAAAAAGCTCAAACAGGTTCATAATGAATGCATTTGCCTTTTTGTGTTTCTGCATGCCACTAGGGAAAAGATTTTTCCAGACTGGGAATCTGGAAGAAGCACTCTCCCATTAATAAAAATCTGACCACACACAAGGCAAGGGGATCTAACCGGGTGAAGCATTCTCATTATCACATGCCTGTAAGAAATATGTTAGGACACCAAAACAAATGATCTGCAACTTTTCAGATTGATACTTCAAATTAATATAAATTCCATATTTTTGAAATAATTAAATTCAGATACACTGGTTTATTAGTTTTATTTTTTTTAGACTCTTTTATACTACTGTTGCCCTTCAAATTCATTTAAACTGGAATTTAACCATTTATGTGGCTTGATTTTGATTTTAATACCTACTGCATATTGCCTTCAAAGCCAAGGAATTGTATTTCAAAGGAGATGCTTTTAATAAACTTTTCAGTAAATGTATAAAACAGACAGACAAAGCAGAAAAGCACACTGTACTGGAGGAGTTGGAAAAAAGCAGTGAAGAGGTTAAGGTAGGACATGAGTGAGAATAAAACTGACACCATAAAATCACCATGTTTCTGAACTAGTTCAACTGGTGCGGAAGTGGTTTGTGTTCTAACAAAGGGATTAAAAAGGAATGCAAAAAACAATGCATGCGAGGTAGAGGAGGGCCTAATCCGCAGACTGGGGTCAGGCGGGCTGGGGGCGGCATGGCAGGCACAGCGGAACGCCCCGGATACAGTACCTGCGTGGTGAATCTGTGAACATCATCAGAGGCACTGACTAGCTCAACAGAAGACATGGAGGGGGAACGAGTATAGGGCTATATGACAGAAACAGAGGGAGTACAGACAAAAAAGCAGAGCAAGGGGTGAGAAACGGGGAGGCACCGCAGGAAAGGAACACAAAGTCCACTGGAAAGTGGGGGGCAACTCTAAGAGGTAGCCTCTGCAAAAGGGGTGCACACTAAATAGCCCTTAATTAATCAAAGTCAGAAATCCAGGACTGAGGTCTACTGGCTTATCTTGCATGGCACCTACTGACTGCATTTAATCAGTGTTTAATTACAACTAGAGATTCCAAAGACTGACATGTAATCACCCACATTTAGCCAAATCAGAATCTTACAATGATGAATAAGGACACTTGTCACATGAGCATGCATATATCTATATATCTATACATATATATATATATAAAGATCATACCTTCTGAGCAAATCTGTGGCTGCCAATGGAGGAATAGACATCCCCGGAAGGCACTGCCGTGGGCCGGTGTATCCTGGACTTCTCAGACTGGCACTGTGCGAGCCATCAGACGTATTTATAATTACTTTAAAATTTGAACATCCAACTGCTTGGGAACATTACTGACAGAAAAATCCTGAATACAATCTTAAAATTGGCTCTGAAAAATTGTCAGTATTTTCCTGATTTTTATATGTATGCATTCCTGACCATCTTCTGTCAATGTGTCCAGTTTTTGAAACGGGAATTCTGTGATATTTCCATTAAAAGCATAGCCCACCCTCTTTGCTCATTGCTGGTGCACTCAGTAAAGCCTACGATGAAACTGCCAAATATTAACTGCCTAAACAAACAGTAACAGAAAAAATGCAAATCTACTCTTTTCATTACTGATACAATTATTCCATCAGTATTAATGAAGAACTAGACAGTGCTAATTGTTCATTCAGCCAGAGGTGCAGATTTCATTTTGGCATTAATAACACAATATAAAGCCCATAAAATAAAACATGCAGTATAACCTGTTCTTCGATTTTGTCCTGCCTGTCGAGGGCAGCTTCAACAGCATCAAAAAACTCATCTTCATTGATCAGGCTGTTTGGTCCCTCCTGTGGAACAAGTGCCATTAATGTTTACCCTTTGACCGCATATTAAAGCAACACATTTTAGGAAATGACCAGACAAGAGTAAATATTTAAATTGAGAAATGGACGTGTTAAAAGTAAAAATAATTCAAGATAATAAGCATAAAATGTGACCGGCTCATATAAAAAAGCAGTCTTTCTTTCCAGGCGTAATCAGTAAACACCTCGTAATCAGGACCCCCGAAGTGGGACTTCTTCTTCAGCTCAATCACAGCGGCCTTGTAAGCATCTTCCACCCGCCTCCTTTTCTCAATTTCCTACAGAGATAAAACATTTGGGACAACTTCAGACTCCTCCTGAGCTGGAGAACTGAGCGATTAGCAAGAGAGAAGCAAACCATTCCAGCACGAGGATGTCCTCGGCCAGTCTCCCCTTCCTGTAAAAGGGCAAGGGCACCCAGTCTCCCCTTCCTGTAAAAGGGCAAGGGCACCCAGTCTCCCCTTCCTGTAAAAGGGCAAGGGCACCCNCCTTCCTGTAAAAGGGCAAGGGCACCCAGTCTCCCCTTCCTGTAAAAGGGCAAGGGCACCCAGTCTCCCCTTCCTGTAAAAGGGCAAGGGCACCCTAGCTGTCTGCTTCATCAGATAAAAACTTCCCTGTGTAGTTCACCATGGAGGTCAGCTACTAGGCTTTCATGGGTAATGTCCCACACTGATCTTCATAAAACCCAGAAACCCAAATTGCTGTATTAAAATTTATTAATTTTAAACCCATCAGGCCCCTTGTTAAAGTCTAACACAGTTTAAAATCCTATCACTATTGTAAAAATGGGGTAATCATTTTTCTTTCTCAAAACACTTTTTAAACTGCATAAACATTACAATTCAAAACACAGAACAAGTACATCTCATATTTCCACTCGCCCTGTCCTCGACAGGGTAATGCCTTCCTAAAACCTACTGCATACAGGCGGCTCTTAGTGCAGAGAGGAATCCACGTCTGGTTGTCAGATTTCAGCGTCTCCACTGCCCACCACAACCTGGTCTTCCAGGGAGGCAACCAAGAGGGTTTTCCTGATGAATTTCCAGTAGGTGAAACTGCTGCCATACTCTCGATCCACAAAGGAGGACTGACGAGGGAGACCAGAGCGAGCTGGCCTACGTCAGCTTTGCCTTCTCTGTGATCTCTCAAGTAATTCACTAACGTTTCTTGCGTCAAGGTTTTTATGCGTTTTGTTTGCACAGAGGGTGGAACAACTGGTTTAGCGAGCAGGTAACGAGGCGGTGTAAGACATTTCAGATGTCTGGTAAGGATGATGGGGGGGGGGGGGGGGAAATCAACCTATAAGGGTGAAAAAGCCACAGCAGAAGTCTTTTCAGGCCAACTCAACCCTTATGTCACAAAAGAAAAAAAAAGGTTGTTTTAATTTACATACAAGTCTGTTCAGCACATTTCCTAAAGTTGCATGATGTGAATTTTGGACTCTCAAAACTAAATGAGTATTATGTAACACTAAGATAGTATTACGTTGCACTCATAGCCATATGTCATTTTCATGATCTATCTTTTTCATTTTGGTAATCTGGGTGTCACAGATACCCACATTTTCAGTCAGGATCTGTCAAGATGTATCACTGATCATAATGCTGCACACAACTGAAAGAGGAGGGGAATTAAGACTGGAAGGCTGAAAGGCTGTCTTTCAAGCTCTATGAATGAATTTATTTTTTTATATCTTGAATGTGTCTACTAAAATAGCAACACACAAGCGAACACATTTCAACAAAAAGGTCAGACACTATTGCCAGGTGATTTTACAAGTGTCACCTCAAACAATGCCACAAAAACCAATGTTAAGACCCCATAAAGTGCAGAAAATGTAAGACTGTCCACAATAATGGCAATAACACACTGAACACCTGCTTGAAGTGTTACTGCTCTGTCAGATATACAACTCAGTTGTGCACCACTTGCATTGACTGCGTCAAAAAATTCTGTTACATAAATAACAATATATAGAGACCTAAATAAACAATGAACTGACTAATCTTCATCAGACCTCCACATTAAGTTTTCAAGCTTGTTATTTTGCCAAAGTGTAAATGTAATCACACACCCCCACAATGCAATGCAATTTATGAGTTATTAAAAAAGCAACGCAAGCAAAGATCTTTCGGTTTCATGAAAAAGAATGACGACAAACTCACAAATCCACAATCCTGCTCTAGTTTTTTTTGGGACAAATGTGTCTTGTCTGATGCACACCTAACACGCAAAGGACATTCGTTTTAGAAGAATAGAAATACTAGCTATATTTCAAGGTAATTTCCCCCCCTTGTCTTATGGATGTAACGCAGAATTAAAAATTGTAGTAGCATCAGAATGTTACTTCGGCAAATCTGTGTATGTGAATCACCACGATCGACATGGCATGGCAGGTGGAGGTGAACCACACCCCATCCACAGAGATGCTGCCTGTACCTTATCCAGCCGCTTCTGCCAGCTCTCCTCCCGCTTCATCATCAGGTCGATGCAGTGCGAGAGAGTAGACAGGATCCCAGCAGTAGTGGCCTTAAAGGTGATTGCCTCGCCTTTAAAGTCAATCCCGTTGATTCCTTTGGGGTTCACGGATGGAAACACTGAATGGATGGGGTGAAAAGAAAAGCCAGACTCACTATCGTGCGAGAGCATGTGCTGTGGTGCCTGTCGCTGGGGGATTAGCATCTGCTACACACCTGGTTGAACTGAGTGAGACCTGCATTATGAATCACATTCTTACAGAGATGAACTGCTGGCTTGTTCAGTTTCTTATATAAAAAAGTAAACAAAATTGCACATTGAAGCCATCAGAGTATTAAAAAATCTGACGGAAATAAGGCAGAGGAGTGACACATTTCAAAGATGTTAAGTTGGTAAGACCATGAAGATAATGAATGACACAAACGATGTATGCGGCAACAATGCAAAGCTTTCTGTAAACAAAAGGAGATGGTTCAGGACCAGCAACTCTACCATGTCCTACTTACATTTTTCCTTACTGCCATTATTGTTGTGTGGGAACTCCCCATCAGCACGTGTATTTGGGAAGTCGTCCTCATCATCTTCCACAACTAAAAAGAGAGCACATGTTCTTATACTGTGTGACTGTGGCGGGAGCCACATGGCAAGGAAATACGGACACAGGGATGGAAGCATGATATTTTACTGAAGTAAAGCAAATATACAGTTTAGTCCAGAAAGAGAACACAAATGCGCACTTCTCCATTACTATGGGTAAGGGACCATAGTTCATTCTGCATCTTTGCTTTAGAGAGACGCTGTTTTAACATTTAAGAACAAAAATAGAAACACATATTGTAATGAAGTCAGGCTATTCAGGGGCCAAGTGATATCTCATTTCCTAAGGCAATGCTGAAAACTGCTTCTGTATTAAACGTATTTAAATTAGCAAAACAACAATTCCCTTCCATTGCCTTTTCACTCTTTCTTGCAAATCACCTGAATCATCAAACACTGAATTATAAAAAGGTTAAAAAACTGCAATCAAGAGGGGATTTATGGGGATAGAATTACAGAACTACTCGAATTGAGGCAGGGCTCTTTCGAGTATCTATGAGGACCAAGGCTCTGCAAATCTAACTAATCTAACTCCTGCAGTCCTAACCCTTCCCTGATTACACTGCATGTGCATGTGAATAGACCATAAAAAAACATGCTGTTCTTATTGCTAATTCTTTGTTTAAAGGCATTGGCGAAACAACTTTGGGAAAGGCAGTATGTATAAACAAAAAAATTCAATAGAACTAAATTGATCATTATCTTTGGATAACCGTTATAAACTTACACAATAATGTTCTATATGTTTACATTTATTTAGGAGATGCTTTGGTCCAAAGCAATGTACAAGTGTGGCAAACATCAGGCCTACAGCTGCTCAGGAGCTGACTAGGCATAAGTTCAGCCAGACTGAGCTTTCAATGAATGCCCAGTCACAAGTGTAAGCAGAAGCAAGAACCTAGTAAAACAACTATATAAAAATCAACCGAAAAAGTGCAACACTAATTCCACCATATTCATTAGCAGTACTGCGAAACTTCAACTGTCTCCTAGAAGTCCACAGGGTGTGCCGGTTTTTATTCTGATAAGCTTCATAAATATCAATAGTCAGTTATCTGATAGGAGGACAGAATGACAACTATGTGAGTATGGGTGTAGAAACAGGTGTAACAAAGAGGACTGGTAGTCAATTTTAGATTACTGCTGACACAGTAATCTACAGGTACTGAAGTACAGGTGAAGAGAGTGTACGAGCCTTGGGTAAACATGCTCAGAAGCAACATCAAACCACTATTTGGTAAGAATGCGAATCTGCATACAGATGAAAGGTTTGACAGGTCCGGGCAGCTGTCGGATTAATAACCATTCAACTGCTAAAGGATATGCATATTGGGTCTCATTCACCAATATTTTCTTAAGAATTCTCTTAAATAAGTTCCTACGAAATTTGATAAGAACAACCTACGTCGGATTCATGACGTGTTCTTAAGTAGCAGAATTGTTCGCACCTTTGTTCTTAAGAATGATGAATCCCACATCTTCGTAACTGAAGGCGCGTGCCAGTTTGTCCTAATTAGCATAGGGAAACGCCCTGCAATTTCCCATAAAAGGGCATGAGACTGTAGGGCCGTGTGTAAGGAATGGCGAAGAGACGCACAGAGTAATGCTGAAGTAGAAGTATTAATACAGTAAAATCCCATTATAGTGGACTCGCTTATAACGGAATATCATCTATAACGGACGAGGTCCAATGGTCCCGGCCGTGCGCCTTTAAGAACATGCAGAAAAAGCATATAGCGGACTCGCATATAACGGAATTTCGCTTATAACGGACAAACAATTCGGTTCCCAGGGTCGCTTTTAGCTGTAGTTTTGTTCGGCTATAACAGACATGCAGCTCCGCCTACAAGGCGTGTGGCGTGCCGGTGATATCCAGCGCAGATACGTACGTAGTCAGGATTATTAATAGTCACGCATCTGGTCAGGTGAAGTTGGATTACTACATGTACAATATAATAATCTATACCACAAGTGTGTCTGCTGGGGTGTGGCATGAGTAAATGGTGTCCTGTACTTATGTTCTGGCCATACAGCAACTCTGCATATAACAGACTTTGGATATAACGCACTGTTTTGCCAGGTCCATTGAAGTCTGTTATAACTGGATCTTACTGTACAGGAGGTAAATGCAAATAGACACATGTTATTTAGTGCGTAACCAGTGGATATAAAGCCCCCAAGAAAGCTGATACATGGAGAGATATCACCTTCTCTGTGAGCACTTTGTTTCCTTAAGAACCAGGGCTAGACGTCTCTGAAAGAGGAGAAGCTAAAGCTTATTACATCAAGACTCATCTCCTGACAACCAGGTTTCAGCAGCTGATGATGAAAAGTAGTAAAGTAGAAAAGTAGTACCTTATTTCAACCTGTGCTGTTATTCTGAATTACCTTTATCCCGCTGGAATTCGTCTTTGGAGACTCCATCAGCACAAGCGTCAAAGTATTTCTGCAGCGTGTCGACCTGCCTGCAAAGAATATCCCGGAAGGTCTCCATCTCTGCCAGCTTTTCACGTAAACTGTGCCCTTTCTGTAAAACACAGACAGCTGTCTTCACTTAGGTTGATCAAGCTTGATTAAGAAACTCCTCAAATAGGAAGGGTCAGTTCATATATGTGACTTCCATGCCTTGGGGTGTCTGCTGGTGTTAAATAGCTCTGTGATTCGTCAGGCTTTAGACTGATCAAGGTAAAGATCACCTTACTGCCCCTTACCTTGATTAGATAGATTAGATAGATATATTAGATATGATAGATAGATGGATAGATAGATTAGATTAGATAGATAGATAGGATAGATTAGATAGATAAATACTTTATTAATCCGGATGGAAATTTAGGAATTTAGACATTAACACTTACAATTATGAAGATTAAATAAATGAATAATGGCTATCAGCTCAATAATAACAATAATAGGATACTTTAAAAACAATTTGGACCATTTATTTTCAGGGCCAAATTAACAAAAAATCATATCACGCATATCACAGTGCTTGGAAACACTGTATTTATACCTAAACTGCTCTATACAGCTACACAGTATTAGCCATAGTATGAGCCAAGTACCGAATCACTATAGCTGTTTTAAACCCAAAGAAGTAATTATCAAACAGCCATAATCTCTTCCTCTATTTCCCCAACACCATCATTCTGGTGGAGCCGCACCAACCCAATGATTCATCACTGGAGTTAAGAAGCAGGCCACGTGACCCGCGGCCACGCCGTATACAGTACCAGCGCTTACGTTACCTTGAAGGATGACGTCGAGGTGGCGGAGTAGCCACTGGCTGCCGAGGTGAGGGACAGCATGGAGCCGTGCCGCCGTAAACTGCACTCTGAGCCATAGCCGGACTCTGCCTGCAGTCAAACAGAGCCCAGGGTCAAGTGCACCGCAGATACAGGCCCACAAAGCAAAGCTCACCTTTGACCCCTGGGCCTCAATGCTACTTGTCAGACGTAACTAACTCCAACTCCGGCTCCTTGGGTTTGACAGCGCCAAAGACTTTATCCTTATCTACATTTGATTAAGTAAAACAGGACAAAACAACTGATGTATTATCAAGCGAAGAACCTAAAGATAAACCAAATTCCCCAGAACTACCGAATTTTATTGAAAAAATACAAATTTAAGACATGCATTTTATGTATATTAATAATTATTTGAAATAATGATGTAATCATTCGGGGAAGCTGGGCATATATGAATATATTTATATTTCACTACCTATACTGTTTGGCTCAAGTGGAGTACCACATTTATCAGGTGCACTAAAAATATCTATAATTCACTTGGGCTAAGCATATCGGATGTACGCAATTCAGGCCATATTTCAACTTAGGGTAAAAGGCTCTGATTGACACAATGGTTTTATACAGTATGTGACTCTTTCTTACTGCCGGTAAGATAACTTAGATTTTTTTTTCCAATGAATTCAGAGGATTTAGATCAAGAAGCTAACTATTTATCTGTAAGAATTATGCTGCAGGTCAAGTGTGAAATAAACACAGCTAAGAAGGTATCTGGAATATGCTAAGGAGTATTTTCAGCAAGTCTGCATAGGGCAGAACAGCGCTGTTTCATGTCTGCCTAAAACAATTTTTAATGCTGGGTGTCACTGTGTAAAGCGGCTCTGGGTGATTATGTAACAGCATATCCCTTCCAATTCCGCTCTCTAAGATAAGGCCATGCCCAGTGGTCAGACATTTACAGACTTACATAACACAATGGAACAAAGGTTCCAGACAGACAGACAGGCAGGCAGGCAGACAGAAATAATTCTACATTCTACAATGTTCTCCTCCATATGTGCAGCTTCCAGGGTTTCTTCTGGAACGCACATAATGATGCAAATCATTTGGCACATTATAGTAAACATACAGAGATGCATATTGTGGCCTTCCTCTATTGCACTGCAACACACGCCAAAAAACACTGTTTTCAAAACATATAGAAATTACATTGACTGACACTGGCCTCAGGAACCCAAGACAATAATCAAATAAGTCATATGTGAAGAAAAACAGATTAACACAAATCATACAAAGGGGTAAAAGGCCAGGAAGCTTTAGTATTCTAAACTGTTGTGGTGGCAATAACAACATAAGCAGGTCTGCAGTGAGTAACAGCTGACCGCTGTGTGGCTGTTTGTTAACATCACTTGTTTGTTTGAGTACCTACATCATGCAATTAGGCCAAGTGATGTCAGCATCCATGGTGAGCACAGAGTACTGCACATATAACAATGTGCTTCACTGATGCAAAGTTCCTGTGCTTCACTGCCAAATATGTATGTGTTTCATGCTATACCTTAAACGACGACATATGCTTTAAATTCCTAAAGATTCCAAGAGCTAATGGGCGTTCTTGGCAGATTAATGGTCTGGTTCAAGAGACTGTAAAATGTAGCCTGTGAAAGAGGCCCCGCTTCCATAAGTTGTTTACTTCTTTTAATGGCATGTTAAGTTTCTTACCAAAACTCACAGACTAGTCTGCTTAAAGGCAGGGTAATATTACCTGTGATAAATATTTGAAACCTAAATCTTAAATAAACAAAAAATTAAATTAAATTAAATTAAAAAAATAATAAAAGCACAGGAGTCAAATCAGATTAAATGTTACATTTCTTTTATTTATTAAAAGGCGATCTCATTAACTGCAAAAAAAGCTGCAGCTTGAAATTACTGTCCAGCTAACAAACCAATAAATTTAATTATTGACTATAGTGATTGCTGAGGATGTTGCAAGGTAGCCAGTCAGTCAGTCAGTCAGTCAGTCACACTGCTTATAATACTTTATTTATTTATAATCATTACGAGTTTACTCATAAAAGTATTATATTATTTGACATTTATTACAAATGATAACAGTACTCATTTTATCGAAGCAAAATCAAAAACACTGACGAATACCTTTATGCACATTTCAGCAAGGCAAATTTAGCATACTCACCGATCAATGTATATGCCAACACATCACAAGTAAGGAAATGTTTGCTTAGGTTTCCTAACATGCTGCATTTATATATTTAGATAATAACAAGAACTTGCACTTAAAGATTTTTCATTTATTCACATCTGACCAAAGTGCTTCTGTCTTTGTGACTACATAGATCTACGGATTACTGACATTATGGCTTGCAAATAGTGAAATGTAAGCAAGGCTACCATTATTTGCTTTATAATCTGATACAAGTAGTTGAGTAGTCAATACAGTACAGACCTCAGAATGCAAAACTGAACAGCCTGGCCATGCAGTCCAGCACTGCTCACTGTAAACTGCCTAAAGCTTTTCTAGCTGGCTTGGAGGCTTTTGCCGATTGCTTCTAAATCCACCTCCCTGTGCTGCGTTGTGACAGCTATACAGACTGTAAAGTGCTGATCTTAAGCAACGCAATAGTGAAAGAAAATAACACACACAAAGCCCAAAACCAAAAGGTCCATATTATCTAACACTTCACTGCGGTGAGCCACATCCCCGTGTTCAAAGTGGATTATTTTAATACTACGGATCTTCACCAGCATTAACAATGACAAGTAAGTCAAGATGAAAGGAATATATGCAGATGAAAGGACTCCTATTTTCAAACCAACTGAAGTGCAGAGTCGTGGATCTGTAGTCCGGCCCATCAATTAATCATAGCCTTATGGGAACAGCAAAGCTTCTCTATCACAACATAAAAGAAAAAACTGAATTTTCCTCAAGGTGCACATCCATATCATACCCTAGACCTGTGTTAACTCTAACGAGCTTTATGCAACTGCCAGTCACTAAATTTTGCTGCTCCACAAATGCAACATCAGTAGTAGTAAGGGAAAATGTCCACATTATGCAAAAGCGCACTCAAATACACAAGAAAAAAGCAGCTTAAATAAAAATATGCAAAATTACCTTATGAGTTCACAGGGAAGCATTAGCCCTAAAGGCTCCTGGCACAACTTTTTAAATTCATGACTTTTCAACATTTCAGATCATTAATCACGTTCTGATAAAAACTGACCCAAGGCTGAAACACTGACGATTAGCTCAGGAAAAAAGCAGACAGACAAAACCACAGAGTGGGTGAATGGCAACTACAGTATGTATGTTGATTTCAGACGAGAGGAAAGACACAGATCAAACAAAAACAGCGTGATGCATCAGACCGAGACAACAGGAGCACAGACAGCCACGCAGACGGCAGGATCGCGTCGGACTGCACCGGCCGGCCTCGTCCCCTGAACGCAGTGAGTCCGCCACCCAGCTGCGCAGGACGCGCACGCATGCAGCCATGCAGGAGACTCAGCCCACCCGTCGGCCATTCCAGCAGCTCAGGCAGAGAAGCGCGTGGCGGCGCTTTGGGCCGGCAGAGCGCACCATCGCTGCCGTTCAGAGCAGAAGCATGGCCGCCGCTATCGCTGGGGGGGGTGCAGTGAGGGTGGTAATGAGGAGGGGGGGGAGGACTTCCCTCACCACCACAGCCGAGGAAAAACCCAGAGAAGCAGCGGTGGCAGCCAGCAGTAGGGAAAGCGGGGCGCCCCCCACGGCCCCCCCGCGGCCCCCCGCGAGCAGCCTCAGTCCCCGGAGCCACTGACGTGAGGGAAGCCCTGCAGGATGACCACGCCGTCTTCGCATCGCTGAACGGGATCCATCCCGGCGCCGAGTGGCCCGCCCGCGTTACGGAAACCGAGGATGCTGACAGGGCAGGGGGCAGGGCTGGAAATCAGCTCTCTGGGGGGGTCGTCATGCCGTTCCCATCCCTCTCTCTCTCTTCCTCCGTCTTTGCCTCCCTCTCTCCCACTCTCCTTCGCTTTCTCTACTTCGCTCTCTCTACCTCCCACTCTCTCGTTACCCATTTGATCGGCGTGGTCTGCAGCCTGGGCCATGTGGTTTCCCTGTGGGTCAATGCCGGCGTTGAACTGTGCACTCTGTACACGGTGCGATTCATGTGTGGGCGGGTGTCGGGGGTGGAGCAGACGCCCCCGCGATCCTCAGAGATCTCCGGCAACAATGAGCAAGCCGCCCTTTTCCTTTCTGACTGCTAATGATCGAACCCCTTACAAGCAGGCATACATTCCATAAAACAATGTTAAATGCTAGATTACTAGTAAATTAATCGACACTGACACGTGCCCTAAAACATACACATGTAGCACAAAAGATACAAAATAATTACTGATTAGACACTATGCTTTCTAATTTCCCAAATGTAAACATCGCTAACATTATTTGCCGCAATATGGTAGATCTCATGTAGTAGGTCCCTACCATCCTCACAGAAATATATCACATGGCAAACTGCATCTACTCCCACCTTGAAAGCCAACCAGCACTGTAAGGGTCATGTTTTTTGACTTCTCAAGGGTTTTTAACACCATTCGTCCTGCTCTTTTGGAGGAGAAGCTGATGGCAATGAAAGTTGACGCCCACCTTGCGTCCTGGTTAATCAACTACCTGACTGGCAGACCACAATATGTGCGTCTACAGCAGTGTGTATCGGACAGGGTGGTCAGCAACACTGGGGCCCCACTGGGGACCGTCTTGTCCCCATTCCTCTTCACCATCTACACCAAGGACTTCAACTACTGCAGTGAGTCCTGCCACCTTCAGTAGTTTTCTGAAGGTGGCTGGATGTATCAGCAATGGTTGATGAGGAACAGTACAGGATGACAGGTGGCTGAGGTCCTTTAACCTCCGTCAGACAATGCTCGGGATGTTTTATGAGTTTGTGGTGGCCAGTGCAATCCAGTTTGCTGCGGTGTGCTGGGGCAGCAAACTGAAGAGAGTGGATGCCAACAGACTCAAACCGCTCCGCAGAGCCGGTGATGTGGTGGGGGTGGAGCTGGATTCTCTGACAACAGTGTCGGAGAGGAGGATGCTG